GAGCCCCTGTGGTTCAGGAACAGTGATTCAGGTTGGGCGCAAGGTGGCCACGCCTCACGCGAAGTAGATCCCATGCTTTGGTTGAAGACAGCAGCGCTCAGGGTATTGCCTGAGCCCTGCTTCCTGCTGGGAAGTGACATCATGGTTAGGGGAGGGCTGAGTTACTCGGCCTTCCCAGACCTCGGTTTCCCGGCCCTGAGACGTGGGCAGCGGGGTGCAGCGTGGCTGGGGTCCGGGGCCCTACTTCAGGGGGCCCCCACCTGGTGCAGTGCAGCTCTGCCCTCTTAGAACTCTTAACATTTAATTCCTCAGCACAGGGGCCTGGGTTTCCATTTTGTGCGGCCCCCCCACCCTGTTGTGTAACTGGTCCGGGTGGTGGGGAGACCCGGCAGGGGAACCTGCTGGGAGCAGAGCCCGCCGGGAGCAGGTGTGCGGCTCGGCCATTGTCTTCGTTGTTGTTTAGAAGGGACTCTAAGATCACTTGCTGTTTGTCAGTTCCTCTGTGGCAGTGACCCTCTCAGCTCCTTCTCCTGGACTTTCGCAGGTGCTGGGCAAGGCTGGAGTTTGGGGTCTAGTATGAGGGGCCTGGAAGAGGCTGTGCTTTCTCACACGGTCCCGTTACCAGGAAGTGAGTCTTTTCCTCTCCTGGAGGACTGACTGAGCTCCTCGAAGATGGGGAGCGGGTCTCCGTTCCTCAGTGATGTCAAAGGCCCGGGCACACGGCAGGTGTCAGTAGGCTCTGGACACAGGGCACCCGGGCCTGCATCTCCTTCTCCACATGCCGCAGGCCTTGGACAGGGGCCTCAGTTTGCTCGTCCGCAGAATGGGCAGGTTTCTGCTAGGGTAGTGTTTTTGTGGGGCCTACCATGCATGCGGAATCTCCGCACCAGGGAGGGTAGTGTTCTCCATACCCTGTACCATGGAAGTAACACAGCGTTATTTACAGAGAAATACGTAAACACCTGGGAAAGTTGGAATTACACGGAAACAGAACTGGACGCTGTTGTAAGCGTACACATGTTTGGTGCCTGCGCCGCCCGTCCTGGTCGCCTCTGCAGCCTCGTGCTTGTTTTTCTCAGGAGGACAAAGTAGAAGCCGCTTTTCCTCTCCACCTCTCCCGTGTCGGCAGCAGGGCAAGTGCTAAGGTTGCAGGTCAGGACACTTTCTCTGGGTCCATCCCTGCAGGACACCCTCCCCTTCCACGTGTGGAACCATGTCCATGGAGGGGCAGGAGGAGGCTGCAGACTGTTCTGCCAACGAGCCCACCGGCCGTCTGGGTGGGAAGCTGACCGTGTTCTCCGCATCCCTGACGGGACACACATGACGGCAGTTCCCCCAGAAGTTAAGCAGCCTGGTGTCCAAAGGAGCCAGGATAAGGCCGAGACATAATAGGAGCTCCTGAGGGACAGGCTGATGCGGCAGCTCGGAATCCAGGCCCACCGGGGAGGGAGGTCCCCCTTGTCGTCCGCAGCCCTGAGAGACCATCGGGCCAGTTCTCTGAGGCGTCCGGGAAAGGCCTTGGGCCAGTGCTGAGATGACCACCTGGCTTCTCCAGGTTGTTGTTTGCGGAGTGCAGTCCTTCAGGGCTGGGTCCTCCCACTGCAGAAGGGCCTTCAGACACAGGGCTCCGCGCTCAGCGTCTGCTGCTGCCACGCAGGGTCCCTCGTGACCGGGCACGTCGCCCATCAGCTGCAGCAGGAGTGTGAACTGCTGTGAGATTCAGACCTGAGCAAATGCTTTCGGAGTTTAAAGGCAACACACAAGTTGTGTTTTCTTCCGAATTCTCCATGAGGAGGAGAGCGTTCAAGGCCGGGCAGTCCCCCACGACAGAAAGGAGTTCTGGATTGCACACAATCACAAAGTGATTGCAAGTAAGAGACTGCCTGCAGGGTGAAGCGGTCGCTCAGGCCTTCAGGAGGGCACAGCCTCGTCCACCGCCGTGTCTTGGTCGAGGCCTGTGTTGTGTGGAATTACCTTGCAGTAACTGTGAGTCCTTGTTTCCTCACATGTCCGAATAGGAATCGATTTGCTCAGTCCTTCCTCCTTGGTCAGCCCTCAGATGAGGTCTTCTGGAAAGTTACTGCCTGACTTTTGGGAGGCAGGAGTAGATAATTGTGCAGAAAATCCCAAAATGGAAAATTTGCTTCAGGAGCACTTGTGGGCGTGGCTCTGCTACCTGCGTGGAATTCTGGAATCCTGTCACGTGACGTGGAAGGGTTGAGGCCGGAAGATGAAGCTGTGCAGCCAGGTTCTGTGTGGGCAGGGGGTCAGCCCAGTACAGGGGGCCTCCCGAGCTGGAGCAGGGGAGGGAGCGGCACTCGGAGACGCCGGGGCAGCACCAGCTCTAGGGAGAGCGCGCGTCCACGACGTGGCACGAGCACTGGGTGCCCCCGGGCCCAGCAGACTGTCCGGCCAGTGGGGGGGGGGCACCCCTCCGGAGAGCTCCCAGCGGAGGGTCAGGAAATCACTGTTCCAGGGGTGGCGTCTGTGCTGGAACTGGACTGCTGGGGCTGGTCCTTGAAGCCCGTGTGTCTTGGTTTTCCTGTGTAAAAGCAGGGCTCTGCTGGGTGGGTGTGCAGCGTGGGTCTGAGTCGCACGGCAGGTGCCCGGCCCAGTCCTGAGTTCTCTCCCCGGGTCTGGGCTGTTCTTCCTGGTGCCGCCTGGTGTGTGTGCCTGTGTCTGACTCTTAGAGTCTTTCTCCTGTGAGCCTGTTCCTCGCCTTCCGCCTGCTGCCCCCGGGAGGGCTGGAGCCTCCAGCCTCCAGGGCCCGCGGGCTCAGAAGCGAGGGCGTCTTTGCTGAATCAGGACAGACAGCCTTGCTGTCAGCTCGAGGCCCCCAGAGTGTTCTCTGGCCCCCGCACAGTGCGCCTGTGTGGGGGGGTTGAGCTCCCACCAGCATTCTTCAGGAGTCCTTGCTGACGTAGGGACCTGACGCTTCCTGACTGGGGGTCCGCGTGTCCCTGAGATGTGTCTTCCTGGAGTGTCATCTTCCTGAGGTGCAGAGGAGCTGCCTCTTCTGAGTGCTCCCCGCACAGTGGCCTGTGTGCAGCAGGGTACCCGGGGCGAGTTGGTGGTCTCTGCCCTCCCGTCCCCCATCCCCTGTCCGGGACACTGCGGGACAGTGGCAGCACCACCCGGGGCACTGACTTCACGTGCAGCTTTCTGTGGGAAAGCTGAGCCTCTGGGCCAAAACCGCCTCCCATTTTACAGCTGAGTAAACGGAGGCCTGTGTGGCTGAAAGTCTAAGCGGGTGACAGCCGTGATGCAGGATGCAGACGTCCGTGCAGACTGTCACGTCACTCATCGCAGCAGGTGCTGGGGAAGGAGCGTCTGAGCTCACACCGAGCTTGGCCCCGAGGGGTTGGATCTGCCCTCTGTAACGGGTGACCTCCCCTTGCCGGTGCCAGGGCCAGGGCTCGGTCAGGGGGGCATGGGACATCACAGACGCAGTGTCAGGTAGGGGCTCGGTGATGGCAACACCGACCCCCCATTCTGGGAAGTGCTTCCCACGCTAGGGTCACGTGTGCACAGTCCAAGGTCCCGTGTACGTATCTCAGGGTCACTTGTGCACGCCCGGGGCGTCACATGTGTCCCTTAACCACAAGCCGGTGACTCACTCGTCCTGGAAGGAAGGCGGCCATGGTGCCCCGTCTGCGCTCCTGTTGTCCCATAGGTGCAGGGACAGGGGAACCGCGTTTTCCCCCTGCCCACTAGTGCTGGGTCTCTGGACTCTGAGAGGCAGGGCCTTTAGAGAAGAATTCTGGCACCTGGGGGAGGCCAGGATCTGGGGATCCCGCCTGCCGGGGCTCTTCAGATGTGGGATTGGGCACGTCCCAGGGACCACGTGCAAACCTGGGGTCTCGACCTCGGGTCTGTTGTCGGTGCTGGCTGGCCGTGGGTGTTGGTGAGGACCTTCTCTTGATCTTGGAAGCACTGGCACTCGGGTATCTGGCCCCGTCCCAGACGTGGACCCGTCATCCCCTTGGGAAGGAGCGGAGACCCTGTGAGGTAGTGCGCCGCTTTAGCACTGCACGGCAGGCACTCATTGCACTTGCTGGAAAACCTCAGAGGAGCGGCTGTCAGTGCCTCCAGGGGAGTTAGACCACAGAGAGTGCGTGTCAGTACGATTCTGCGGCACAGCGAGGGAAGCCCGGCCCCCGGACCGATGGGAGGACGTTGGACCGAACAGGGCCTGTCGGCAGGACCTCTGGTCACCATGAGGAGCAGCTGTCCTGCCAGGGGCGTCCTGACAGCCGGGGACCCCTGAAAACCTCGGGGTCTGGCGGGAGGGCCGAGCGCACACAGCCCTGAGCCCCAGGCATCCCCGCGCCCTGTCCACCCTCCGCACTGGCGCCCCGTCCGCAAGACCCAGAGAACAAAGATGGCAGTGGGGCGTCCAGATGGATGACGGGCCAGGAGGTGGGAGCCGGGCGGGGGGGTCCTGACGAAGGCGGCCCTGCGGCACCACCCCAATAAAGCAGTTGTTGAAATAGGGATGTATTTTTTAAAATCATATTCAACACGGCATTTTAAAAGCTCTGAAGGTTTTCGATAGCTGCCGTCTGGCAGTCCCCTGCCAGTCATTTTTGTACTCAGTGGTTCTTAAACACTTGGATAAGTTTTTAAACAGCTCCTGTCAAGAGAATTTTAAAAATACCCGTCTCTTTCCTTTAGCTTTTGGTGCCTACGGCTCCCTTGGGAACCAAATACTAAAACCTGTTTCCATAACAATGTTTCTTTTTCCCTCGCAGGAGGATCTGCCGGTTACTGTTGGGTTACTGGGCTGACTTGAAGTTTTTCTAAGGGTGCTTCCGGGGTTTAGATGGGCAGAGCCTCTCGATAGCATTCCCGGAATCTGGGAACAGAGTCACAGTGACCAAGAAAACCCAAACCCGCGGAGGCCGGGTGTGGCGCAGCGGCGGCCGTGGGTGTGCGGAGAGTTCAGAGCTGCAGGGCCGTGCACGGAGTCGCTCTGACACCTGTGACATGCTCTTTTCCAGGGTCGCGGGGCCCGCAGTGACCTTCAGGGTGAGTGCCAATGCCCGGAATGTGACGCCGGCGGATGTGGTGAAGGCGGCAGGTAAGGCTGTTTCAGCTCAAGCGGCGGGAGAGCCATCTGTTCATGAGGAAGGATGGTCTCCTAGGACCCGATACTGACGGGGACAGGGAGGGGAGGGGAGGCTGTGCGCGGCGCCCTGAAACGTGGCCAGGCTTCGGGGCGGGGGACGGCGGCCACAGTGCTGGCTCTGAGACAGGGCTGGTGCGGGGCGTCTGCGGTGACCCTGATGTGGATGGAACACCCTCGTGCTCTGAGGATTTCCATCTTGTGCCAGGCGAGCAGCACACGGCCTCCGCGTCCATCCCCTGCAGCCGGCACAGGACGCGGGGCTGGACTGGGGCTGGACCTGGCTCCCACTCGCCCGTCCTGAAACCACGGACGAATCCCGGCATGTGGCTGGTGTTTGTCACGTGGGATGTAGGGCGAGTGTGAAGTCTGCCTCCTCTCAACTCCGAGTCTGTTTTCAGCTTCTGAAACCTTGTACAAACGTGCAGCTTTTCTGCCCGTAAGAAAAACACAGGAAACGTAACGGAACTGGAGCCCCCGGTTTCCAGTACCTCAGGGGAAGGACTCGTATTTCATGGTCGTTTGTAGGCAGCGTGTCTGAATGTGCACTGACCCCAGACGCGGCGGAAGGCGGCTTTGTTTCAGCTAGTCCTGTGTGTTGCTAAATGTGTGAACTGCTTTTACACGACATTCATGTGAAATGCAGCAGAACACTCTGGCTGACTCAGAGATCTGGACGTTTAGCTGCATCGGCTGAGGTGTCTTTGTGTCGCATCCTGTTACCCTAAGGTTTATCCGGCGACAGTGAACAAAGCGGCCCCGCACTTAGCGGGACAAACTCCAGGGCTTCCCGAGGGCGGCTGCCCTTGCTTCTACTGCGGATGCTTTTTGTGACTCTTATTTGTGAAAGTAGTGACTTGGGGCCACGAATGTTTGCCTAAAGGAGAATTTCTTGCACAGTTGCCCTGCACCCTGAAACCGGGCAGCCGTGAGCGCAGGGCAGGGCCTGTGTGTTCGCCGTGAGGCAGGCGAGCTGGGTTATAACGGCCAGCAGTGCAGCGCCCGCCACGCAGTCTGGAGGGAGGACGTCGCAGGGTCTCCTGGACACTCCGCCGCCTGAGCGGGGGGGCCACGGGCTCTCCCTCCCTGCACAGCACCCATTTCACATCCTTGTTCCCTGGCAGAGGAGATCACTGAATGTATTTAAGACCAGATCAGTTACCAGTTTTGGGTTTTTTTACCCAGAAATACATTAATGACGTTTCGCAGTTGGCAGCGCATCCCAACACTGGGACGTAACCCTCTCGAGATCCGGTTTGCTGGCCTGATGGGCACTGTGAGTGGAGTGAGATGGAATGAAGGCTTTCCATCTTTTCAGCACTGTGACAGTGTATTCAGGACAGTGGCCTTTCATTTACTTTACCGCTTCCTGAGGGGAGGGAGGCTGATTATCTGAAGTCCACTTTCTTGGTCGCTCTCAGCGTTCCGCGTCGTGTGCTGAAGGGGAGCCTGCGCGCCCCTCGTGGGCCTGAGGGCCGCGTCGACGGCCAAGCGCGCAGGCTTCTGCTGACACCAGTGCGTTTGCGTTCACCCTCGTGGCCGCTCGGCCCGGGCGCCTTGGGCTCGCTTCGTCCGCGCAAGGTGGTCACGCCCACGCACGGCAGAAAGCTCGGTTCCCTTCACATTTCGAATGACCGCGTGCTGCTGCACGGGAGCGGGGTTATGGAGGAGGAGTCCGACCATGAGGATCGTGTCGTCTGGCGGCAGAGGCACCGAGGTGCACGGCTCCTGCCCCGTCTGCCTGTGGTGTTTGGTGTCTGTATCGTCCAGGAAGGGAGACACTCCCCGTGATGGACTCTAGGGGCGTTCGTTCTGCCAGCTTTGTACACTGTGACCCAAAGCCCAGGAAGGGCCGCCTGGTCTTCAGCGCACCGTCCCCATCAGGCCCCGGCGGCTCCTCCCAGTGCTGCGTGCCTCACTCAGACCCGCTCTCTTGATTTCACGGGGTGACCCTTTTCTGGACGCTCAGCTCAGTTTGTGGGCTTGGGCGTCAACGGGAGGCACAAGTGATCATAAAGTCGGGGTCTTGCGCACGGAGACACCCGCTGTCCTCAGTGTGTAGAAAGGGCGGGTGGTGACTTTCCCTTTGTGTCGTCAAACTGAGCAGAACAGGGAGCCCTGTGTGACTCTTCACCTTCTTGCCTGTTTGTCCTTCAGCAGCACGTTTCTCGTCCCCTGCTGGCTCCTCCTTTCAGAGGAGGGCCGGTGGGTCGCCTTGGAGAGATTTGGGAGCTCTGCCCCCCCCCAACATGGCCTCTGGGTCCCGGGACCTTCGCGGGGGGCGGTCTCGCCGCCTGCGGTGTGTGTGTCCCTCCTGCCCGAAGTCAGCTGTCCCGCCCTCCCCGGGGCCGGGGGCCGGGGGCTTCTCCTCACTTCCCTTCGTGGCTGTGTCTGCTTCGCTGGCCGTCAGGCAGGAGCCCGTCCTCAGCACCCCGTCTCCCAGGGGCCTGGGTCTAACCCAAGCTCCAGCCTGGGCGCTCAGCTCATCGTGATTTTGCGTGGCGGCACCTCCTCATGACAGAACGTGGGGATTCTGCCAGAGGGTCTCGTGCCCAGAGTCCCACTGCCCCTGCCACCCTACCCCGCTGAGCACCCCCATGGGGTCCATGGGTCTCCTCCCGCTGCCCTGTCTTCTGTGCTCTGTGACTTACAGGCCATCTCGTCTGCTCTGTGCAAGGAGGGGCCTGCCCTCCTGTGGCTTCTTCCTGGATACCGCCAGGGCTGGACCCCAGACACAGAGGCTGTGAGCATATGTGGGCGTCTGTTCTCGACGCAGGGATGCTGGCGGCTGGGACGGCCAGACCCCAGGACCCACATGTTTAACCCTGGGACCCTGCATGGGGGCAGGTGTATCTACTTTGGAAAGTGACGTGGTCACTCCTGGTAAAATGACTGTAAAGCAGGCCCTGGGGGGCTCCAAGGGCTGTGAGGGTCCCGGGGGGCTGGAAGGGGAGACAGGGAACCGTGTGAAGGCAGCAGGAAGGGGGCAGGAGCCCACACGTGGGTGGGCAGGCCCGGCTAGCGGTCTGGGCGCTCACCCATCTCAATGTGGGGCGGGGCCTTAGTCACAAGAAGTGCTCAGTGGATTCGTGGCACTGGTGGAATCCCCGCTGCCTTCCTGACCTCCGGGGCTCGGCTGCTGGCCCAGGTGCCCGTGCCCGCGTCAGGGGCCCAGAAGCCGGGAGGCCTTAGGCGAGAGGCCGAGGAAGGGTCCTCGCGGCAGCGGCAGCGGCAGCGTCAGCTGTGGACACAGGTCTCTGGCCCAGCCTCCCGTCCAGCTGGCCTCCATCCCACCCTCTGTCCTGGCTTCCGACGCAGCTGCTCAGGACCGCGAGCCGGCGGCCGGGAGCTGTGTGCGTCACCAGACACAGGTGGCCCGTGCACCTTGGTGTGATCGAGACACCAGGACAGGTATGAGCAAACTGGGGAAGCGTGACGTGGAAAGACGCCATGCTTTTTCAGTGGAGGATAAGGAGGGTCCCTGGAAAGGCCCCCAAAGCCCAGCGCCAAGGGCCGTGCTCGTCTGCACGTGAAGGCCAGCTGTCAGACGTCAGGAGGAGCCCGGGCACACGAGGACGCACGTCTTCTCCGAGGTGTCACGTTAGAGAACCGGAGGACTTCTGGGTAAAGGGACCTTGGGATTCCTCCTGAGCTGGGCCTCGCGACACAGATGAGAAACTCTGGCCAGCGTGGCTGGCGGGTTTGGGGTGGGGCTGGCGGTCCGCTGACCTGCCCACAGCTCGGGGTGTGAGCGGCCTTGACTGACTTCTCCAGGCGAACGATCCTGCTGGGTCTGACGCGTCTCAGTGCGTGTCCCATTTGCCCAGGAGCTCGGGCAGCTTCCCTGTGGAGGGGCCGCAAAGCTTGGCTGGCCTGTGGGCATCAGCGATGGGCAGGGGTTGCCGCAGGCATGGGGAGTCCACGTGATTTGACGGACGCTGCACAGGAGGACCAAGGCGGGAAGACGGGCAGCGTGGTGAGCGGGACGGGGCATTCGTCGCTGTGAGACTGTGTGCCTCGGAATCAGCGCAGGGAAGCAGACCCTGAAAGGGCAATTCTGGAAGAAGAAACAGAATGATTTTCCCGCCCTGGCTGTTGTGTATTCTGCGTTGACTGTTACCTGGAAGAATTTGCTTTGTTTACCTGAGCTGATTGATGATGTTTCGAAAGCCAAGTGCAGGAAGGAGGCCTGTCTGCAGGCTCTCCCCGTCTGCACCCCGGGAGGAGGCTCAGCTCCGGGCGGCGGTGCAGTGAGGGAGGTGTGGCTCAGAGGAGCCCTGCTTTAACGGACTTTGTGCTGTTTGATGATGAGACAAGGAATCTGAAGATGAGCCACAGCCCTCGTTCCGTGCAGAGGAAGCGAAGGGCGTGCGGGTTCCATCCTGGACTGATTCAGTGACCAGCTCAGAACACACGTCGGGGAGAAAGATGTGGCTCTTGCTACTGAGAAAAATGAATCTATTAATAGTCAAAACACCGTCCTTTGGGGAACGTTCACTCTTTGGAGGACTCAGCTCGAGAAGCTCCTGTGGTAACGGGGGGGCTGCCCCCTCTTCACACTTACGATGACGAAATCTGCTTCTGTTCAGAGACGTTAAAGGCTGTGAAGGAATGTCTCCTCTCCTCCTCGGCCCCAGAAGGGTACTTTAGTGCGGGATTTTAGTGCCCCCTCCACTGCTCCAACCCCCAGGAGAGCAGACGGGAGGCCGAGGTGCCGTCAGGGAACGGGCTTCTTTCCTGCTGGGATCCGGGGCTGCCTGGGGTTGGAACACAGCCTGGGCGCCACGGCTGTGCGGGGCTGTCAGCACCAGAACCAGGTGCTAATGCGGTGCGGTCCTGTGAGGGCAGGGCCAGGGTCAGACTGCAGTCTGGACAGGGGTGGGGCCCAGAGCTCGGAGATCGGGCTGGTCGAGCAGCAGTGGGAATGCGGATCCGGGGACCGCCTGCTTCCTCCT